AAGGAAGGAAGGAAGGAAGGAAGGAAGGAAGGAAGGAAGGAAGGAAGAGCAAGTGGTGGCTTGGAGCAGATAATACCTGAATGCCACACCCCCGGCAACCCTTGGACCTCACTGCCCCATTGAAGAGGCGTCAGGCCCCGTGCTAGATGGAAAAAGGTCGGGATCTGAGACACCAGCAATTTCCCTGGGCCACTGGGCTTCCGACCCAGAGTCCACAAGATGAGCACAGCCCAACATGGAGAAGGGTCTAGAACAGCAGTGGAAGCTTAGAGATTTGGGACAGCAGACAGTTCCTGGTGCTCAAGGGGGACCCTGGTGCTCAAGGGGGACCAGGAGGCAGAGGAATTGCGTCAGGTCCTGGTCCAGCCTCCTATATTGCCTGGCCAGTGAGTAACTTTGTCTCTGTTTCCACCCTCAGGGGTGTGGGGTGGGAGGGAGCCATCATTCAGGGCAGCGGGGAGGACTGACTGTTTTCTGTGAACTTTCAGTTCCTATCTTCTGCCCACTGTTTTCTATTCAGTTGCTGGTCTTTACTTTCTCAGATTTTAGGAGTTCTAGGTGTGGAAAGTCAGCCTTTGTGATTCTGTGGGCTGAGGTGCACATATTGTCTGGTCTGTCATTTGCCTCCTGATGTTGGTTATGTGTTGCGTGTGTGTGTTGTGTGTGTCTCTGTGTGTGTATTTTTTAGTGTAGTCAGAGTTATTCATCATCCTTCTCATGCTCATGGCTTCGGGGTTGGAGTTAGGGCCATCTTCTCCAAGGAGATCCCTACTCCTCTTGGTTCTTGCAACGTCTTGCCTGTTTACCCTGGGGCTGTCCATGTCCTGGCTTTGATAGTGTGAAGTGTGGAGCCAGTTTCATCTTCTTCCAAAGGCTGCTCCTTGGCCCCAATGCTATTTGTTAAATGGCCCAGCGTTCTCCCCTGGACCCTTTGTCCTGGGGGAGGTCCATCCCTGGGCCCTCCTCTCCCTGGGTCTGTGCTGGTCTCTGCGTCCAGAAGGCAAAAGGACCCATTGACTCACCTGGGCAGGGACTTTTTCACGGGCAACCACCTTGAGAACTTCCCATATGGTTTTTTAATTGTTAATTTTTAAATTATTTTTTATTTTTATTATTATTTTTTGAGATAGGGTCTTGCTCTGTCGCCCAGACTGGAGTGCAGTGGTGAGATCCCAGCTCACTGCAACCTCCACCTCTTGGGTTCAAGAAATTCTCCTGCTCCAGCCTCCTGAGTAGCTGGGATTACAGGCAAGCACCACCATGCCTGGTTAATTTTGTGTTTTTTTGTTTTTGTTTTTGTCTTTTTTAGTAGAGACGGGGTTTCACCATGTTGGCCAGGCTGGTCTTAAACTCCTGACCTCAAGTGATCCATCTGCTTCAGCCTCCCAAAGTGCTGGGATTACAGGTGTGAGCCACTGCGCCCTGTCCCTGCATTGTTTTATAAAGTGATCTCTGAGTAGCTTATAAACCATGATGGCTGACCCCTGAGATTGTCAGGCCCTATGCCAGGAAGCATCCGGAAACCTGAGCACCATCGTTCGCCTTCACCAGTGTTGTTGGGTCAGTGAAGACGGCAGTGACTTCGGGGTGCTGTGTCTCTCAGACACATTTCTTGGTTGCTCTGAACCAAGTGCCTAACTCCAGAGACTTTGCCAGGATTCTAAGACAAGGTGAGGTCTTGTCTTCGGAAGGATCTTTCAGGGAAACGCTCACCCCACGGGGTGCTGTGTGACCTCCGTCCTACAGAAATAGACGTGGGGAGATTACGCGGCAGCCTAGACCCACTGATGAGCCGCAGCTCGGGGGGCAAACTTGGGGCTGCCGAGCCTAGGCCCTGCTCTTTACTGCCTTCAACTGGCCTGCTGGCACCTACGGCGCGTCCTCCAGCTGGTGAGTCACCGGCCACTTATTCATCACACAGCAGGCAGCAGAAGGTGGCAGAATGGCGTGCCCTGCCAGGCTCTCTGCTGGTGAGTCACTGCTGCCAGCATGGAGTAGGGCAGCGGAGGGAGGTGAGGCTCTGGCCAGGGAAGGCCGAGCCAGCAGGCGGCACCACTTCTGCCTCTGCCCTCTCAGGGGAGGATGGCTGATGGGGGAGCTGGGCCTTTCCTCTGTGCGCTCTCTATGCCTGTGCCCCACCACACACACACACGTGCACACCCACATGCATGCACGCATACACACACACATGCATGCACACAGCACGCACGCCAGCTAATACCGAGCACCCCACCAGAGGCCGAGCAGCTGCGGGTTAACAAGCGGGCCTTGCAGACTCGCTTTGCTTCCTCTGGTTTAATCTCCTCCCTGGAAAACGGGAGTGGTAAGCCCGCCCTCCTGCTTCCCGGCAGACTTTGGCTCCCATGTCCCACTGCTCCAGTCCCCCAGCCTGGCAGGAGGAGTAAAGCTGGGACATGAAGTCACTCAGACCTGGGCTGGAACCCTGCCTCCACCATGCATGCCTGCTCTGGGCCGTGGTTTCCCTGCCCGACACCCGAGGATACCAGTGCTCTCGTCACAGTGAGGGAGCTGTGCTGGGGAAGCAGGAGTCCGGTGCCTGCAGACGCCGCTCCCCATTCATGGAAGTGGCAGCCACGGCTCTTGCAACGGCTCTCCCAGGCCGGTGGGACACCGGGCATCACATCAGATGACTTCAGGGGTCTCTTTGCTCCCTTTACCTGGAAAAGGCTTCAAAGTTGGACTCTTCCTGGCCTCGCGGCAAAGCACCCTCTGGCTGGGTGCAAATCTCCCTCTCCTGTGCTCATGCAGTTGCACCCTCCAGGCACTCTTTAGCCCTTTGCTCTGCCTCTAAGGCATTGTCATCCCCACTCGGCAAGTAGAGACATCGCGGCCCAAGAGACTAGTTAACACCTGCCCAAGTTAGCATGGTAAGGGAGAGATGGGCCTGAGATGGAACCCAAGTCCCCTGACACCCAGCCTCCGGCTGTTGCCCAAGAGCCATGTTTGGAGAAATTGGTGTGGTATCAAGGAACTGCCTTCGAATGGGACAAAGTTTTCAGAATTGCTGGGGGACAGGAGCCCACTCCTCCAGAAGTCACTTTCTTCCTTCCCAAGTCAGACCCAGGAGGTTGGGCTGTAGCAACACCGGAGGTTCCAGCAGCTGACTCTGTGAAAAGAAACAGCGGTTTCCTTATTGATCTTTTCCTTCCCACTATGGGCTGGAAAATAAGGTCGCCAAGAATGATGTTGTTGCTGTGTGTTTCTCGTTGTTTCAGTTTTGCTTATTGAATTGTTATTCCTGGAGGACCCCAGCCTCACGGCCATCACTCCACCCCCAAACAGTTTCTTGTTTCAAGGACATCAGTGGCTCATCCAGATTCCATGAAAAGTGCCTTCTCTGACCAGTGCCTCCTGCACTGACCCTTCCGCTGTCCCCAGTGCAGCAGAGCCTGAAAGGTGGTCAGCTGTCCGTCCACCAGCATCACGACTCCCCAGCTTCCAGCCTCCTCATTTCTGTAATTAGCGGGATGGGCTCTCCTATCAGCCCCCAGGCTGTTTGTCTCGCTTAGGATGGCTCTTGTTGTCCCTGTTAAATTGGCTGTGGCAGGCCATAATAAAGAAGGAAAACAGTGGCTGCATCAGATCATTCCAAGAAGCTGACATTAGCTCCAGAAGTGCTGGGAAAGCAGAGATTCAATTAAACTTTTACCGCGGCCCGTCGGCTCCTGGCCTGTGAATTCTGGAGCTGGGCTGAGGTTTGGAGAAGACTGACAGCCAGATGAGCTTCCCTGGGGTCCCTCCCACCAGGAGGCTGTCAGTCTGCACTGGTCCCAGGCAGGCCAGGGGAGCGTGGCCCTGCAGGGTTACCCTGAAGCCCAGCTCTGCGGAAGCTTAGTGATCGCACAGCTCCATGCTGAAGGCTCAAACCAGACACCCTCAAGGGGCTCTGAGTCTAGCACAGAAGACAGAGACAGGGACAGACAATTCCAGAAGGTGTTCTCGAGTCTCCAGTTCTTGGATATGAAACCAACAGCTAATTTAGCCCATTCAAGCGCAATAAAATCACAGACAAATGTAGGCGGCCTCTTTGGGCCCTTACCAATTCTTTATATACAGGCTGAGATTAATCTAAAAGGTGATTTTCTGGATAAAACCGTGCGATTCTTAGACCCCTTCACCTTCTCTTGCTCCCCTCACTAGCACAGGCTTTTGGGGGAGCCATTTTCCTCAAAGGAAGCAAAAAGAAACGTACAAGTTTAACGCCAAGAGAGTTTCTGTGGACACTGAGGTGAGGTGAGGGCTGGGGATACTGGGGATCCCGTCAGAGTCCCTGCTCCAGCACTGGCTGCTGTGTGTCCCTTAATGGGCCTTAGGTTTCAAATTTGTAAAACGAGATTCACATAGGACCCACCTCTGGGGACCATTGAGAGCAGGCCCCGAGCCAACCCTGAAAAAGCAAAGCGGCTGAGGGTGACACAGGATCCCAGGGCTGGGACAGTGAGGTGGGGACAATACGGTACCGGGGCTGGGGCAGTGGGATGGGGACAGCAGGGGTGTAACACAAAGTCCCTGGGCTGGGACAGTGGGGTGGGGATGGTGGGAGGTGACATGGGGTGCTTGGGCTGGGGCAGTGGGCATGGAGGACAGGGGCCTTGACTGGTGGGCACCAAGGTTCCGTGGGGATGGTGGTGGGAATGCAGGGGCAGTGAGGTGCGGGCCTGGGGGCTGCTGACCACTCGCAGCTCCTCATTACCCCCATTTGCTGAGCGTGGGGTGCTGGGCTGCGGGCTGAGCCCTTGTGTTCATTACCTCCTCTCATCACTACAGCAAGCGCCATTTCTCATATTGGAAAACTAAGGCTGGGAGTAGTCAGGTGACTTCCACTGGGCCTCAGAAGGCCAGGCAGGTTGTGCCTAACCACCTCGCTATGCCCCTGGTCAGGGCTCTGTCCACATCCCAGCCAGGCAGCTCAGGTGCTGGCTCCATTGTGAGGTCTCAAGGCCACACAGCGGGGAGGGAGCTGCCGCTGTCCGACTGGCTGCACTTGCTGTCCCTGGCTGGGCCTGCTCTGGGACACTGATGGGCTGGCAGCTGTTCCATCTGCAGGTGAGCTCAGGTCCCTCCCAAGCACTGTCTACAGGTGTTACCTGTGGAGAGTCTTGACTATGAGTTGTCCAGGTTCTTGGCGTTTTGAACAAATAATTGGACAAAATACACAAACAAAGCAACAAAGAATGAAGCAGGGAAAGCACAGATGTATTGAAATGAAAGTACCCGCCACACAGTGGGAGTGGGCTGGAGCAAGTGGCTCAAAGGGGACAGGTTACAGAGTTTTCTGGGTGTAAATATCATCTGGAGGTTTCCCGTTGGTTACTTGGTTACACCCTATGTAAATGAAGTAGTGGCCTGAGACCAGTCTGATTGGTTACAGGAGGCAACCAATCAGAGGCCAACCAATCAGAGGCTGAAGGGAAGTTACCAGGCTACACCCTTATGCAAATGAAGACTTGGCTGGTGGCCAGTCTGATTGGTTGTGGGAGGGTATCAATCAGAGGTACTTTCCATTTTCCCTCTGCCAGGCAGTGCAAAGTTGGGAGTTGCAAAGGGAGTGGCCTCTGATGGTTTTGTTACTTGGGCACGGAGGTGTGGGGTTTTCCTTTTGATTTAGATCTTGGAAGTCAGTGTGACTCAGTCTTAGGTTACCTGCCCCCTGCCTCACAGGAGCTCACTCCTGAGTGTCTGTTGCGCCCTGTAGAAGACTCCAGGCTAGATGGGAGTCCCTATGGTCCTGCTGGCCTCTGCTGGTCCCGGGGACCGCCCCGTGCCTGCACACGTTGAGGTTCTCAGTCTGTGTGTGTTGAATACACGAAGGACGGTGCACACCTCCCACCGTGAAGCATTGTGAAGGCATGCGAGGCAGGGATGGACCTTCAGAAGCAAACTGAGGTCTGGAGACAGCCAGTGCCCGGCTTCTGGCACCTTCCGGTCATCGTTCCAATTCAACAACCATTTCCAGAGTTCCTTGGAGGTTCACAGCAAGCTGAGCTGGTAAGACTGTGAAGAGGTGGCTCGCTCGCCCTCCCTCGAGGCAGGGCCTGGCCTGGTTCTGGCTCTTGTCCTCACCTGGATGCTCTGTTTTTGGAATGAGGGCTGTTCCATGTGCCCTGGACATTCGGCTGCGATTCTCTGAGGCACAGAATGGATTCTCCTTTCTGCTTCTCAGAACTGAGACTTGGGCCATGATGTGAAAGGAGGAGAAGCACCCGGGAAGCCCCGAATTCCTGACATGGGAAACCTTTGGGGGACATGGAGGCTGGCCCTGAAACCCTCTTGTCTTTTGAAATCATCCACAGCCCCTCATCAGGGACAAGGAGGAGGAAGCCAGCACCTCCTGTCTGCTCGCTGACCCCCAGCCTGGCCCTGCAGACTCTCCCTCCCATGTCTAGGCAGTTGGAGAAGAAGCAATTTGGTGCATGTGAATTATTCAGAGCAGTCAAAGTGAAAGGAAGGACTGAGGCAACCCGTCTAGAAACAGCCAGTAAAGAGATCCCAGCTCGAAACCACTCGTAAGGTTGATCTCGAAAACAAATTAGCGGTGAGTTAAGGAAAACATTATTTGATTACATGCAACCAGTTGTTTCAAGAACAATACTCATCCATCGTTTTTCTCCAGACAGGTTTCTGGAGAATCCCGTGCTCTTCTGCAGGCTTTTCGATTACTGGCCTGCTGATGTTCACCTCTGGCAACCCCGCTTCATCACTGACTCCAGGGAGCAAAGGTCCTTGGGACTCGCTCATGGTCCTGTCCCAGCCACACGTCCGGCCGACTCAGCACAAGTGCACAGTAACTCCCTGTGGAGGTCAGGAAGTTGCATCTGTAATGATCTCACAGGAGCACCTCCTACGTGCCCCGACACTAGCCACAGCCCGTGCTCCAGACCCCAAGCCATGGGAATGCCCGAGCCAGGGCTCTCCACCACCCTGCTCAGGCCCTGCCGCGAGGCGCATCGCATGCCTGGTTGGGACTGTGCACATCCCTTTATTGGAAAATTATCCCAAATATGGTGCTGCTGGTTTGGGGCCATCTCCAAAGACATCGCACGTTTAGCCTTAGCTGCGAAGGTTCATGTTCACCCCTAGACAGGGCACTTCCTGCGGAAAAAGTGGGGGCAGAGCAATTGTGCAGATAACAGGCAAACCAGGCAAAGACTTTGGGAGTCTAGAATTTTCCCCTGCAGGCAAGGCGGGGTGTGGGCATGGGGCCTGGGGCCGGGCAGCACCGGACATCAAGGCGTCTCAGAGAACGAGATGCACCATCATGATGGGGAGAATCTTTCCTGGCTTCTTGTCATCACACAAGCGTGAGAGGTGAGAGACGGGACGGCACGCGAGGAGTTGGAGTGTAGGTTGGAGCGGCCTGCCTGGGACTGGACTGCCGAGGCCCATGGTTGTCTCTACATGGCTCCCCCTTCTGAGTGGCTGGGTCACTGTTCAAAGGTCTAAGGCCCTTCCCTTCCGCCACTCTGCGTCCTGTTCATGGGACTCCTGCAGTGTGGAAGGTCCCGGGCAGGAGCTGTCTGCCCAGCACAGGGAAGAAGGAGCTCCTGCCCTTGTAAATGGCCAGGGGGCCCCATGGTTCTGTGGCTGCCGGGCTGGGCTGACGGCTGGTGGATTGGGGCCATAGGTACCCGCTCATCCACTCTTCAGCTCCGTTAACCAAATAACCACGCGTCACCCTTTGTTGCTGATGCCGTTTCGGACCTGGGAACATGCTGGTGACCAAGACAGCAAGGCCTGGGCCTCACGTGCAGGAGGGGGAGTGGAACGGGCAGGTCAGTGGATGACAATGTCAGGGGTGATGAGTGACAGGAAAGCAGTGGCAGGGAGAGGTTGATGGTGCTGGAGAGAGGAGGCAGCTGCAGGAGAAGCATCCTCGGGACGTCACCAGGGAGTGAGTCCAAGAAGAGTCGGTCCCTGCAAGACGTCGCCCAAGCGAGACTAGCAGGACAGAGCAGAGGTGATAATGGGCGTTCAGGGCCTGAGGGGCGTGCCTTTCCATCTGCTCTGACTTCACAGTGAAGCATGCATCGAGGTCAGGGTCAGGTGAAGGGGAGGGGCCGGGCATGTAGGAGGGCTTTCGGGGAGCAGGTGCAAGCTCGTTGATTTGAAGGGTGGGAAGCCAGCCCCCTAGGGCTGCACAGGGTGGGCAGTTCCTGCCAGTCAACAGAGGAAGGGAGCGAGGGGGTCAGGGAGAGGGTGCTGGGCGAGTGGGAGTGAGGGGCACTATCTCGGGGGCCATGGAAATCCAGTGGGGTGAGGCAGAGGTGAGCAAGGGCAAGGGGCAGGCAGGAGTTAAGAATGAGAATGTGGCTGCAGTCAGGAAGTGAGGTCTCCGCACAGCCGGGGACTGGAGCACTCCATCAGGCGAGCTGGAGAGAAGGGGGCTTGGAACGAGGATTCGGGAGGAGGAGCTGCTGCCAGGGCTGACAGGGTCAAGGGCATGGCCCGCCAGGAGGGTGGCTCGGGTGGGGGACAAGCTGGTAGGTAGGGCCAAGGAGCTGAGAGGTCACACTGGGATCAGGGCCGGATGAGGCTACACGGGAGGGAGCTGACCCACAGGACCAGGACAGAAAGCTTGGAGGAGGTGAGCAGAGGAGCTGGGGCTTTGCAGGGGATGGGGAGAGAGGGCTCGACCATATGGACAAGGGAGGAACCACCCATGGGGGTGGAAAACAGCCTTCCCTGGGGAGAGTGCAGGAGCAAGGCCTCACCTCCCTACCCAGCCAGGTGCCGGAGGGCCCTCAGAAGGGGGGTGTTCGTGGGGGCAGATTTGCATAGAAGGGCCTCACAGCAAGGTACGGGGAGGGTGAGTGAGTTCAGGTGGGAGCAGTGTGCATGGGGCAGGGGTCTCATGGAGACCCCAGGGAAGCAAGGGTCAGAGCCACGCCCTCTTGCCCATGTGGGCTCCACGCAGAGCCTGCAGGAAGCCGTGCTGATGCCAAGCCTGAACGCCTTCCCTCCTCGCCACTCTGCCCGCGCTGCCCCTCAAGGGCTGGACTTAGTTCAGGAGACTCAGAGTCTACATCAGAGTTGTGTGTTCAAGTCAGTCCGCATCTCTCCATACCTCCCTCACCCATCCGGCATGGACTCGGAACCTAGCAGGTGCCAGGCCTCATACCCAGTATCAGCATGCCAGGGGTGCAGGGAATCTGCAACTGAGAATGACCTTCTGCCAAGCCAGGTATCCCCGGGATGGCCCGTGCTGGCCACCTCTGTTTGGTATCGCTTGCAGCCTTTGCTTCTAAAGGAGACAGGATGAACCTTCAGCCTTAAAAGACTTGGAGCCACTGGGGTGGTAGGTGCAGAGAGGAGGGCTGAACTCCGTGCAGGGAAGAGCCTTCTAAGCATGGTGAACTCCCCATTACTGGTGGTAGGGAAGCAGAGGGAGGAAGCCACTTCCATCCCCTCCTCCAGGGAGTGGGAATCCGTGTCCCTCAGCAGCCTCTGCCCACTGAGTTTCATTAACGGGCAATCTGCCAGGCCGCGGCACGCCCCTGGGGAGCAGGCACCAGCCGAGCCAGGGTAATTTCTCCAGCACCGCTCAGAGGCACCGCCCCGCCCCAGACCATCTGTTTGTGCGCAGCTCCGGATCATTTTTCAACACATCAGCATGACTGAGAAAGCTCTCTGGCTCCGGACCACCCCGCCCAGCTCCCGCAGAGCAGAGCTCACCCCAAGGATGGCATTTCAGCGCCTTCTCAACGTCAGCAGAATATGATTTTATTGATTGGAGGCACTGGGCTTGTCGATTTCCTACGTGAGGAAAAGCATGCGTTTTCCTGTCTCTTCCTGAAGCCAGTCGTAAAATAGATTGTGCGTCTAAAAGGGCCACATAAAGCACTGGCCACAGTGAGCTTCATGGAATTCGCTGACTGCAGAATCAGGGAGATGAGTTTCGGAGAAGCCTTGTTCTCCCTTTCTGGGTATAAAATGGGTGACTTCTAAATTAGGAGAGAAGTCAGCCCAAATGTCCCTGAGGCTGCCAGAGGGCACAGGGACAGAGGCCCTGAGAGCGGAGGTTGGGTTTTCTAAGAGGCACTTGCTAGGGAAAGGGCAAAGATGCCAACCCCATGCTGGCCTGGCCCTGAGCCTCAGGACTTGGGAAGCACCTTCTTTCTGCTGGGGAAGCAGTAGGGCCCAGTGCTGGCATTCCCAAACATCCTCACAGCCACCTTCCAGATACGCCATTTCCAGGGACCACCCATGCTATTTACTTAGTTTTAGAAAGAGAATCCCCCCACCCTATTTTGTAGCCGCATTTAGCAACAATATCTCTATCGAACCCGTGGTTTGATGGGCAGGCTATATTTTTTCTGATACTTCACAGTAAATGGTAGTAGATTAATTCCTCCAGGTCTCATCCTCTCCTCTCTCTTCCATAAGGTGCCGCAGGGATCCAGGCATCTCCATCTGTGAACCTCCAGGGTCTCTGCAGAAGAGGAAGGCTCCACCCACACTTCCTTGGCTAGAGTCAGTCATGTGGCCACAGCCTAGTGCAAGGGAGGCTGGGAGGTGTGGTTTCGGGATACCGGGGAAGCAGGAAATGAGAAGAGAAAGGGACCCCTTTCTGACATTATTAAAATAACAAATGCATCTCTGCATACCTCTCGGGCCACATCTGGGAAAGGCTGACTTTGCAGAGAGGCCAGCATGCAGTGCTGGGTGACCTTGGGCAGGTGACTTACCCACTCTGAGCTCAAGTCTTTGCCACGCATGTGGAGAGGCTCACTGGCGTTTCTGAGCTGGGAAGATTCAAAGCACAGCCCGCCCAGCACCTGGCCCAGGGCAGAGCCTACTGTGAGCTCATTCTGCCCCTACCCCTGCACACCGTGTTACAGACACCAAGGGCATGGCCCTGTCAAGTGCCCTTTCTTAATTCCTTTATAAAAGGAGAGGGCTGGCTGCGTGACTGTTTCCAACCCAACACCCGTAAAGCAGATAAACGGGCAGACACGAGTGACTTTCTTAAGGACACAGCCAGCTTGTCGTGGGCCCTGTCTGGGGTGATGGCATCCCTGCGGGCCACAGGCCGTGGGCCCCATCGCCTTCAAGCCTGCAAGCTGGCTGCCACAGCTCACCCACTGCGGGGGCACACTGAGGGGCTTCAGGTCCCTCATCCAGGACACAGGGAGGACAGGGACGGCCAGGGAGGGTTCCAGGTGGGGAGAGGCCACACTACTGTTTTTCGGAAGACAGGTCCAGGCTGATGACAGGTCCGGACTGATGGGGAGCAGCCGTGAAGCAGGCTGTTTGCATCGTCACTGTAGTCTCCACTCTGGAAAACCAAAATCCGGTGACTCGCTGAATTCAAACCCAGGAAGGCTGAGCTAGAGCCAGAACTGGGGTCTCCCCTCTGGGCCAAGTCTGACCGAGAAGCTGGGAGGCCTGCGGCTGGTGCCCAGCCGTTCACTTGGTGGTTGGGGGCTCTCAGCAGCAGCCAGGCCAGGCTCCCACCTCTGTTTCTGCCGAAAAATAGCAAACACGATTCCTCAGACCAGAAAGAGGTGGAGACAGGGGTGCGGCTCAGACCAGGACCGGGGCCCTGACAGAGGATCCCAAGCAGAGAGCAGGGCAGTGGTGCCAGGGAGGCAGGCCGGCTAGCCACACCTCTGATACAGGCCGCAGAGCTCGGCTGCTCTCGCCTTTGGGAAGGCCTCCACCACGGCTTTGGCAGTGCTGACACTGAAACCTGTCGCTGTTTCTGAGCATCTGGACGTATGATTTAGCGCTTATTGATGGCAGGAGAAGCAGGGAGCGACCATGTATGTTAACACATAATCTATTCCACACCCATATTTCTGTTCTGCAGTCAGTGACGATGGGGAGACTCACTCCCTCTTATCAGGCAGTGGCACCTTCAAGACATCGGCCCCGCCTTGGAGCTGAGCCCAGGTGGGCTTTATTCAAGAACCTCCCCGACCCCCGTGCTGTTCGCAGGCTGAGCTGAAGCTAGGATGATAGGATTCAGCCGGGTCAGCACTGGCAGAAACACCTGTGACTGTGGCAGACAGAAAAATGCCACATCCTCTTCCCCAGAACCTGTGAATGTTCCTATCTAAAGAGGCTTTGCAGTTGAGCCAAAGTGAAGGATTTCATGGAAAGGGGAGATGATTCTGGATCATCTGCACAGGCCCTATGGAAGCTCAAGGGTCCTTATAAAAGGGAGTTAGGAGGCTCAGAGTCAGAGGGAAGACATGAGGACCGGCCTGGGAGTTGGAGGCGAGAAGATGCTGCCAACCTTAAAGAGAGGGAGGAAATGAGGGGAGGGAGCCCTTGGCCTCTGACCTCTGCCTCCAGGTAAGTTAGTCAGAGACCCCTGCCATCCACAGAAGACAAGAGGCAGCCCCATGGGCTCCAGCTGCTCTTTGGTGAAGCCCAGCAGGGATAAGAGAGGCAGTGTCCTGGACACCCTGGAGAACCCACACCTTTTAGGCTTGAGCCTAGGGGTGGATCCACAGCGTGCTGGTGACCTTGGTTGTTAACTTCCAGCCACGGGGATGGAGGCTCCCCTGGGAGCAGGGAGGGAGGAAGGAACAAGAGGGAGGGACCTGAGGCCATCTGTGACCCTGCTCTAGGGGGGAGCCCACAGGAGCAAGGTCTGTGGACAGGGACCCGCCCTGGCCCTGTGGGGGGCCCTAGAGCTGCCAGAAATCACCCCAAAATCCCTTTTCTAACCCCATGAGCTAATTTCCCGAAGGATTTGGCTAAAAGACGCCTGGGGGGTTGTGACAAATTTAGACCTCGCACGAAAGTGCTGAGTCACGCTTTGCCTGTTTGGAAAACAGGAAGCTAATTAAGTTACTGTTGGAGGCAGAGGCTGCAGCAGGAGGAGGCAGTGGAAAAATCCTCTGTGATGCTCGGCTCCACTCAGCTCAGAGAAACGTGCACCACCGGGGAGGTGACCCCACGTGCTGGGCTGTCAGCAGCCAGAGCCTGGCTGGCAGAGCTGTATGAAGAGGACTTGGGGAGCCCAGGCACGCCTCATGGTATAGATAGGATGACCTCACTGAGGCCCAGAGGAGGGAGGAGCCTGGTCCACACGGGGGAAGAAGAGGCAGAATCTTGAGAACTCAGCTGTCCCTGGAGTGTGAGTCAAGCCTTCCTTCTCTGAAGGGACTCTTAGCACCCCCACCCCCACAACACCACCCCTGCCTCCTTCCCTCACCCAACATCTGGGGAACCTCTCTGAGCCAGGGGATTTGGCTGCATTCAAACAGCAAGCGAGACAAACATGGTCCCTGTGCTTCGGAGCTTACAGTCTGGCTACAAAGACACACTGGGAGCAGCCACAGCTGCTGCGTGTTAATTGAGGTGGAGGGTGAAACTGACGGCACAGAAATGGAGAATGTGAGCTCAGATGAGGCAGGCAGGGATGGTTAGAGCCCTGATTGGAACAAAGGAACGAACATTTGACTTTGAACTAATTGCTTAACAAAGATCTGCTGACCCCCATTCTGGGAAGAATTACTACAATGGGTGGGCCTAAGGACAGACCAAACCCATCCCGGCCCCCAAAGAGCTCAAGTCCAGGGGGACAGGAACAAGGGGGAGGGACCTAAGGCCATCTGTGACCCTGCTCTGGGGGGAGCCCACAGGAGCAAGGTCTGTGGACAGGGACCCGCCCTGGCCCTGTGGGGGGCCCTAGAGCTACCAGAAACCACCCCAAAATCCCTTTTCTAACCCCATGAGCTAATTTCCTGAAGGATTTGGCTAAAAGACGCCTGGGGGGTTGTGACAAATTTCAGATGAGAAATAAACAGGATGAGACAGGGAGACTGAGCCAGCTTCCCTAGCTCCTGTGCTGCATCGAGTCCTCTGCCCCCCAGGTCTCACCCCCTACTTCCTCCTACCAGCCCAGGACCCCGAGGCTCTGAGAAGTAAGGGGGGCCACCCAGACCCCACCTCTTGGCCCTGCTCCTGTAGGTTCTCTCAGCCACTTTTGAGAGCAGACGCTTGGGTTACCAGCCGTGAGTGGAGGGGCCCACGGCAATGCCATGATGACTTGGTACCCTGAGAGCCCCTCTGTGCCTGGAAACCACTCCCTCCACAGCCGACTCACCAGGAAGCAATTGTGGGGTCTGATCTTCACTGTGGAGGGGTGTAGGGTAGAGCTGACTATTAATGTAAGTCCTTGAGAGGCTGGGCTGGATCTGGAGCCCAGAATTTTACCTGATCTCAAGCCAGTGATGGAGTTCAGGCAAGAAGACGTGCTTGGCTCAAATACTTCTCCTTGGTGAAGTCTGAAGCCCCTCCTTGGGGTACAGAACCTCTTATTCAGTTTTGGGATGGGAGAGTCACCCCAGGACTTATATTGACATTGCAGGCATGTGCAGAGGCCCTGTATGGAACCCTTTCCTGAGGATGGGTTTGCATGGAAGAGGCAGGCAGGACCCCAGAGCAGTTGGGTACACAGACCACCCACCTCCCTTGCCGCAAGGATACCCGGGTTTGTTCCCTCTACACTCTCCTTCCCAGACTCCAACCATTCTCAGCCTGAATGCCTTGCTCTGAACACCAGGCCTTGGCTCAGGCTGTTCCCTCTCCTGGGAGAGCTTTGTCCACTCCAGGCTGCCCAACTCAGAAGCAAGGTCACATCCATGGAGACACTCTCTCTGTGAAGAGTAGGCTTCCTGTGGGCAGCCCAGGGGTGGTTTGGCAGTTCAGCTACCAGGACAAAGAGCCTTCCAGCATCTGCTCTGTGACCTCCAGATGTGGCTTTTGTCTTCATGGCCCAGGATGGCAGCTGAAGCTCAAACCACCACATCTCTGTTCCAGGAAGGATGGGGCAAAGAAGAAGAGAGTCACAAATTGCCTTTTAGGGATGGTATCCAGAGGCTGTCATGTGACACTTCTGCATATCCTATTTGTCAATACTGAGTCACATGACTACCTACTGCTGCAAGGGAGGCTGGGAAATATAGTCTTCATATTGGGTGGTCATGAGGCCAGCCACAACCCCTGGATTTTGTAACTGAGGAAGAAGAGGAAGAGGTGAACAGTTGTCTGCCCCAGCCTTCCCACACCCTGTCATATTAGGTCAGCGTCCCTGTCACATGGTCAGACAGAGCTCACACCAGACTTGAGCAGGGCCCAGCCAGTGGGCAGATAAAGCCTGGAACCAGGCAGGGGAAGGAGGGAGGCATCACACACATGCCATTCCCACCCAGTCCCCTCCATGCTTCTGGGCTTTTCAGTAAATTATCCTTTTGTCTCAGAAAGCTTTAGAAGCCTCCTGGCAATTCCAGGTGGAGTTTTGAGTTGTTAGGGGTGGAGAGATGGTACAAGACATGAGCTGCCATTGCTGCTTTGGAGCAGAACCAAATGTAAACATGTGAGCTGCACACAGCCATGCACTCCCACAACCTGCTCCCACGGGCGCAGTTCACCCAGCACCACAGGGGAAAGGAAGGAGGCATGTGGGGAGATCTGTCTCCTCCCCAAGATCTGCTTGTCTTGGAACAGATGAGCACAGCATACAGCACTTCTCAGAAGCTGGTGTCAGCCATGAGGCTGGGGTCTCCAGGCAGTTAAAGCACCTTCCCATCTATTATCCTGCACGTCCCCGTCTCCCTGGTGGCATCTCCGGG